CTGAGCGGGAGCCCTCCGTCCAGCCGCCTCTCTTCCGTTCCCGAATGTCTGCCGCGGTCTCCCGTGGGGTTTGCTCCCGTGGGGGCTGCGGGGCTGCGCGCGGGGTTCACAGCGGGCCGCCTTGCGCCGGGCTTTGTCTTAACCCCCGCCTGGGCCTCTGGCAAGGGCGGCTGCGGCCCCGGTTCTCCTGCCCCGTCTGCTTCTGTCATCGCTGCCGTCTTCGCTCTTTCTTGCCGTCCCCGTGTTGTGGAGCCCTTTAGCAACGTGCAGGGCGCGCGGAGTCACCGGGGCAGGACGGCGTGCAGCAGGGGTTTAAATTACGGTCGCTGTCGTTGTGATCAGGGATGGAAACCGGGGGGGGGTCAGTCCCGTGTCCGCGGGGGGCCTTCGACGCGTGGGAGCGGGGCTGCCCCCGAGCGAGCTAGAAGGGCTGAGCCCGTCTGCTTCGGAGGTCCCCTCTGCCCCAAGCAGGCCGGCGGGATCGTCCGTCTAGAAGCCTTTCTCTTTTGGTTCGCGGGTTTGAAGCGAATCCCCCTCCATCACACTTATAACTCAGTTTCTGATCGTAACCAAAATAGCACTATGGATGCCTAGAAGATAAGGCACGCCGATCAGTCGGTCAGAGAAATTTGAGGACTCCTACACTTGAGAAGCCTGCTGCCCAAAAGGAGCCCTGCTAAAGTGGTTATGGGGTGCAGCTCGCTGATATTCGTCTTGCATAAAATATTGTATCCCGGAAGAAGACCTGTCTGAACGTTTGGCGCTCTGCTTTGCACCACTTTGTTGAAGGCTGTGCTTGATGTTTTAAAGTAAATGTTTCTAGATCTTGTGGTTCTACGAATGTAATCTGAGAATGCTCAGGCAGATAAACGTCTTGGAAGAAAGGAATTAAAACATGAATGATGGAGGGGGTCTGTTTCAGGGAGACGTTTGCCCAGAGCAAGATTTTGGCATCTGTAAGCAGGCCATGCCCTGCTCCATCCCATGGCGTGGGCTCACTTGCCTAGTTGAGGGTCGTCTGTCTGCTTGAGGCTGTGAGCTGCGACCTCGGTCTGTCCTGATAAGGAATTTCTGAATGTCTTGGTCATGGACCAATGCTCATTTATGAAATGGTTCTGAATTCTATCCTCCAAAGAGACCGATACCATTTTTTTTCTTGTTATATGTAAGGTGAGTCAAACATTTTGTTTATAAAGATCGGTGTAAAGACAAGTTGTGTCTTGCCAGGAGGTGATTGTTTCTCAGCTCTTTCAGCCCCTGATTTATTCCTTGAACATGAATTCAGAGGTTTGTATCCCAGGATAACTGGTCATACTGATAGGTTCAGAAGCACCCAGAATGTTTCAGAAAATGACACATCTAGTTAAAAACTGATCTCTAGCTGTTGGCCTTATTTTGATGCGATGATTCTTGTGTGTCTCATTACAAACTTGGAATCACTTCAAAAGAAAAGAGGATCCCAAAGCAGAAGATTAAACAGTTACTAAATTTGGAAAGATTCACAAAAGGGAGATATCAGGTACTGTTGCCAATTTGTACTTACTGCATTTATATAGGGAAGAACATTCATTTAGCATTTATTTGTTTCTCTCAGAAATTAGAGTTCTTTCCTTTCAAACTTTAGAGACATACAGTACTGCTTCATTTTTTTTTTTTAAGTTAGAATTCTTGGCCTGGCAGTCAAGCTCATTTCAAAGGAGACTTGACGTTTTCCAAAAATCTCCAGGTTCAGATTTGGGGAGCCTGCTGGAGAAAAAGAGATTACAAATATCCTTGGTAGTCTGTAAAATGCTTCCAGGATGAAGAAGTCAGTAGGTTCTGAAAGCCAGCAAGGATGTACTTTTCTTTTGCCAATGAAAGCATTAGTTAATCCAAGCAGTGCCCTAAATAAAATGCTCAATTTCTGATAACAGAACAAACTTGCTGGTTGTCTAAAGATGTCGTTCTTTGTATCTTGAATCTGTGGATGAGGATTTGAAAAACATTCTGAGTGAGTTGGAGTATTTGCAGTTCAGTGGTGAGACAGACCTGCCTACATGGGGACTTCTCAATTATTACCTGAAGTTTTGTCTTGTTTTTAAAAAACACATTTTTCCCCTCCAAAATATTTTCTAAATACCTTTGTTTTGCATTTATCTATAAATATGAGAAACTGTTTTCAACATCTTTAATTGTTTTTAGTAGAGGATTCGTGGTCCTTGATCATAACAAAGTCCTTTCTCCATCGAGGGCCAGCCAGAAGATGGCAAGCAGGAGTTTTCTTGCTGCCTTATTCCAAACCTTGGGAAGATTCTGATTATGTAAGGCAGTCAAAGCAATTCTCTCTGAATGGTGGAGTGCGATATTTAGGCTTTTTCACCTAATGAAAAGAACAAGTAAGGGGGCAAGCCTGCTAAGGTGCATACAATTATTTGTGTCCCAAATAAAGTTGAATATTAATGCAAAAAAAATCTATTCCTGTAATTATTAGTTCTCTATTCTGTTTAAATAAATCCACCGCCTTTGATTATTTTATAATGGAAAGTAAAATTATATACATAAGTCAAAAACTTAGACTCTGACTCTTTCTGATTATAGGCTTTAAAAATAGTATACAGTTGTGCATAAAGGCAGGGGCAAATAGCAGAAATGGTAGATTGCTGCCAACTTATTTTTTGTTAAATTAGAGGGGACAGGGCAATTTTCCTATCCATGTGTGTTTTGAGATATACTGTATGTTATTTCCACATGTGTAACAGTAATAAGTTGGCTGCGATCGCTGGCATTCTGGATTGAACACGTTTGGCTGCAGGGCTCTTTAAAAAGGGACAATACAAGCTGATCCAAGGAGGAGTATTTCATGGAACAGAAATCCAGATAGATTTAACTTCAGCTCCTATGATCCCCAGACTGCTGACTAAAAGATTACAGGAATGGAAATCCAATCCATCTGGAAGTGTTCCGTTTTCCGTCCCCTGCCCTCTAATTCTTCAGTTGTGAAACTACATCCAGTGCACCTCTTGTTCCCGCAGATTCTAAATTAACGATAGAAATGGAGTAAGAGAAGAGAGCTTAGTTTGCTGAGGACAAATCACAATGCTGCTGTTTCAGAAGACAAGCTGAGGAAGAAATGAGGTGCTTTTTGTATGTACCGCTTCTTTCAAACCTTTCTGAAGCGCCTTGATTTTTCTCTTTCAAATGAAAAATATGATGGCCTGAGTGGGAGAAAGAGAAACAGGAGGTATTTTAAGCCTGAATGGACGGCCTTTTTTTCTTCAGGGCCTTCTGTTCTAATTTTGGGTATTTGTAGAACATATGGAAGACCATCTCTTTGAACATCTATACAGAAAAGAAGCAAATGCTCCATCTGTCCCACAGACAGTTGCCATGTTTATGTATATATAAACTGCTTGAATTCAACAGAGGACTATCACCTGAAAGCCGTGTCTAGCAAGTTGGAATAAATTCTTAGCCCTGATTAATGGGTGGGGATGGGGGAGTGTCTTTGAGATTTAATGCCATTTCTTTTGCAACCTCTGGGAACTTATCCCTGGGTAGGCCAGGGTAGTGTTCCAGCCACATGGCTTCTCATACATTTGTAGCTGCTATTTTCTCTTTTGCTCATAAATGTATGGGATTGCCCAGGCTGCAACTGACGCGTTCACTGGAAAAGCCTCCATGGCCGGCAACTGGATGGTGGTGGCTTCGTGTTCTGTATGCAGCCCAGGCAGTTCTTGCCCTTGAAGCCTGACCTTCCCTGCAAGTCTCGTGAATTGGGGTCCCCGTTGCCAAGCCACAATTGCCACTCTCCTCTCTACTTTATTCTTCTCTCTCTTCCTCTGGCAGAAGTAATGGGCACGCCCGCAGTGTCAGTGGCCAGCCCCTTCCTGCTGGGAATAATTTTTTGTTGCTGCTCTCCAAGAAGCATCCTGGATGCCTCTTGTGCCCGAAGCTTTACTTAAGGGGTGATTCCTGGAAGGCCTCTGGAGACAGAGGAAGCTTTAAAAAAAAAACACCAGATACTCCAGGGTAA